CAGCTGCCATATTTGTTTACATATTCATAGCCCCAGCCTTTTATGGAAAGCAGTGTTTTGATAATTTTTGGGCACCTTTCCTATGGAAATCAATTGCCTTTGGAATCATAAGAGTAAAGGCAATTTAACAAAGTATATATTGTCCACATTTGTCCTAAATTATCATTATTTCAGTGTTTTAAATAGTTTTTACTGCTACTTTTATAATAGAATTGTGTTTTTGTACTGTTTAATATGTAACCAGGGATAAATGATTGAAGACTTGCTTCTATTTCATCATTTTATTGTTGGACATACAAAAACGAGCCAACAAACAAAATACAAAGGAATTACAAGTAATTGATTTACAAAATAATAAAATTACACATTTCATCCAATTCATCAATGGAAAAGAATAAATATGATATTAGAAATGAATAAATTCTTACCAGGATCAGCATACAAGAACTGTCCATAAATGATGTTTACTAATAAGTAACTACTACTATCAACAACGTATACTTTAAAGTAAGTTATCAGTTACTTGTATTATGTGGAACTGGCGAAGGGAAATATTTTACTTAAGCAAGAAAATGTTTCGCAGGGATTTTAGGGTCATGCACGTGAAATATTAGTGAACACATTCATACAACCTTTAAACTTACAGTGACTTCTCATACGAAACAGGCTATACAATATTTACCACAGTTAGGCAAACAAACGACGACACAACAGTTAGGCGAATACCAACCAAATACAACATAACACGGAGGATACAATATATCAGTGATAAAAAGAAAACGATAAACAGGTTACAAATATAATTTGTATGCAAAATGGCCAATCTTCTACAAAACTTGGACATGGTGTAGAGGTTACAGGTCATGTACAAATAGCACACACAAACTCCCAGGGTTTTTCCACTTTAATGCATAAATCGTACATAAATAGAAGTATTGGTCGAGCACTGGACTGGTCGAGCACAGGTACTGTGACTATAACTTGGTTATCTGATTTAAAACTGACATGATGATTATATGTTGTTCTGTTCTATGTATTGTATGGACACATTTTCTATGATAAAAACTTATCAAGCGCACAATTGTACTACCCACAACCAAACCATGCAGTTAACGGTTATGTTTATAATTTAAAGTCAATATTTACAAAATAAAATGTTGCAATGGTTTAAAATAACAGCAGGGGAAACATTGCAAATACTGACAAGACATGTGTTAATCATCTAGTTTAGGGTCTTTCAAATAGTCTTTGAAAGACCCTGACACAGTGTCTAGTTTTATATAAATGAACGAGTCTGTGGTGTGTGGTGGCATTTTATCTTTTGATCATATTTTATTTAGAAAACGCTCAAACTACAATGTGTTGGATAGTGTCTTTAAATAGATAATGCACTTGAAGTTTTAGTCTAAAGATGCATTTAACAATAATGATGTACATGAGTAGCTTATATGTTGAATTATTACTTATAGTATTTCATCACTATATCAACTAAGAAAATTGTTCATGTTTCAGGGAAACCAATGTGCAGGCACTTGTGTTTAGGGGGGTCCGGGGGCATGCTCCCCGGAAAATTTTTGAAAGTCTACATTGCCATAGCTTCATTCTGGGGTATGTCAAAGCATGTTCTGAAGGAAGAGAATTCACAATTTTGCTGCATTTTGGTTACATTTTTTCCATCAATATGAAGATGACCATACTTCTATCACTAACTCAATGCAAAGCCACTGTGACATTTTGGCAAAAAGAGTTTTTTTCCGTATATAACTTTGGGGTAATGATATGATTTAAAGAGAACAAATTTATGTAAATTTTGAAGCAAACAATAAAATTTAAAAATTCAAAATAAGGTTGTCTAAATATATAATTAGAAATAATAAAAACAAAGATCTACAAGATTGAACGCCATTGACAAAAAGCATGGTTAATAAAACCTTGCTACACCGAACAATTGGTATTTAAATACCAAATCATGATGAAATATCTAATGTCACACAAACAGCATCGAATACATTTTCTTATTTAAGATGTTTTGCTCCCATTATTCATAAACGAAAGCCTCTGGTGTAACATATATATAACATAGGATAGACTGTTTACGTAAAGTCAAACTTATAAAGGAAAGTAAAGACAAAGGCAAACTGTACACCTCCAGTAACTCAGAAGTAACGTACCGACAGTAATGTAAGAAAAAGAATTCCGAAGAACTTTTATTATCAAAAATTATTATAATTTGAATAAACTATTTCGCGTGGAGTAGTTTCAGAATGTTCAATTATCTATTTCACAATTGTAAGAATTACTATCAGTGTGAATGAACTTGGCATGTCAGAACGCTTATATTCATTTTACATGTTTATTTTAAGAACTAAATAATCGGATATTGTAAATCATGTTTTCCCTTACATTCTTCTTTCTTCTAATATTTCTCCATAAGTTACCTAAGTCTCTGTATAGTGATAATTAAACAATCATTTATTCCCTTATTTTCCGAGCTTACATCTATTATTACCGAAACATGTTCGTACATGTATCTTTATTATGAAAATTACTTTAGCTGGGGAGTCATTGTTTTACTTGTCTGGATTACATTGTTGTGAAATGTTTGTAAATGATACTTTATGTGCAATTTAATGAATAAATAAAGTTTCAAATAAATATAAATAAAAATTAAAAGAATTGCATCGCCAGCTTTGAAAGCACACTCTCCACCACTACGCTGATTAATGCAGAATTTGATGTGTATTCGAACACATTACTTGTATATACATGCGTATTATATATAATTAAAATACATTTTAAAAAATATATGTAATAACACAGATTATGTTTCACAATTTACTTCAAATCAACTTTATGAACTTGCCAGATTTCAATTCTGCTTTGTGTTTTGTGCTCAAGATTTGACGAAGATGCAGTTTGATCAGAATAACGTACATGTACAAATAATTAAATCATGAATACATTAAGAAAGGAAGAGAATATGGAATACAAGATGTCAAGGCTTCATTCGAAAGATATCGCTTAGCCTCCTCATCAGTTGTATAAAGCTTGCACTACCGATAATTAGATATGGCCGAACATTGTTGTGCACACTTGTAATATTTATATTTTGAATCGAAGCGCACAAAAACTTTGATATTGTCAAAAACTTTATCCGTCTCTGATATGTTTTGCCACAGAACAACTTTATAACACGGCAACACTTTTGTTATGAAATAAACCTCGATATATTTGTCACATATATACGTGAGTTCTCACTCGGGAGGATAGGGCGTTCAAAGAGGAAACTGTAAATATATTGTTGGCACACAATAAAAAAGAAATACGGAGTCAATGAAAAAAACAACAGCTCTAAAAGTTCTCATTTCTTGTGCTTTCGATAATTCCAAGCGAAATACATACACATATCATAGTAATTCATGTTTACAATGTTTTATAACCTCAAATATACCTGTAAATATATTGTTGGCACACAATAAAATAGAAAACGGAGTCAATGAAAAAAACAACAGCTTTCGCTAAAAGTTCTCATTTCTTGTGCGCATGCGTAAAGGTTAGCGTGACCGAATTCAAAAATGAATGAGGCCCGTCAATGTGTTACAGGGCAAATGAAGTTATTAGTATGAAGTTGAATAATGATATGAATGATTGAAAAAGAGACGATATGGGAATGATATAGAGTATGGGTATGAATTACAGAGTATTCTAGCAAAGACAAAATGACCCTGTGACATATTTTCAAATAAAGTGACAGGTCATTTTCTTAAATTAGGACCTACACATCTTACCCTTAAATTTTTATTGCATTTTTGTACTAATTTAATTTTTCATTTCTGACTAAAAAGTGTAGGCACGTGCCTACAGTGTCTATAGGAAGCTACGCCACTGTGTTTCATCATTCCAGAATTTTGACATTTGATACGTTGATAGACAAAATAAAATGTATGAGTTAAATTCATTTTATGATGTGATATTTGTGGGTTTGTGTGTGTGTTTGTTTTTTAAGTTGACCAAATACCCGTACATGCACTTCTTAATTTAAGTGCCATGTTTTTATGACTGCTAAATATTTTGTTAAGAATGACCAGAGTAACAGCTCTTTAGCTCACCAGTTACAAATTGACAATTGGTGAGCTTTTGTGATCACTTTCCATCCGGCTTCTGTCCGTCGTCCGTTCTTCGTCCTTAAACTTTTACTTTAAATGACATCTCCTCATATATTATTAATGTATATTTTGCCACTTAGTGAGTGTCTACCAAATTTGTTCAAATAAAAGCCCCATGGTTAAATTGGCCCCACCACTGGGGTCTGATTTTCCTTGTATGTCTGTAGTAAAAACTTTATAAAATCTTTTAAAAAACCCCAAAGAGCTAGAGCTTAGATGTTTATCATAAAACATCTTCTAATGGGTGTCTACCAAGTTGGTTAAAAAAAGCCCCTGGGTTAAAATTAGCCCCGCCCCAAGGGCCTATATACAGGTGAGCGATTTCAGGGGGATCATGGCCCTCTTGTTTTCATGAAGCCCTCAGTATGAGCATTTATGATGTTTGATTATTTTTTCTCTTACAGATTAGTTAATTTATGACTGAATGTTACACAAGATGCTGTAAAGAAGCAAAATGGCAGGATATAGCTCACTGGGTAATAAGATTTTTAAATGATTCTCCTAAAAGTTAATTGTGTTCAGCATTAATCTGCAAGAATATTTGTTTATACCAAATTATGTCAAAGCTTGTAGAAAAAGAACCAGTATAGAAAATAATTTAATTGCCAAAAATGAATGATTTAGGTAAGGTAAAACTCATTATTGCTTTAAGGTCAGTTTAATATCTATTTAACATGTATGCTTTTAAATCCTGGTTACAGAATCTGATGTATGGCCTGGTTCTGAAATGAGTTTTTGAATAATATGATTATCTGTATTCCACATCAGATTGAACTGACACAGTTGGAAAGTTGTTTAGTGCATGTGGAGAACTGAAGTTGTGAAAAAAAATCAGAAAACATGTTATATGTTAACTGTCAAAACTTGATTGATTTAATCAGGGTTTTTTTTTTACTTTTAACAGATAAACTCAATGCAATCTTGCAATCTATTTCTTTTATGATTTACTTTTTTCAGATATCTAACTTTTTCATGTGTTTAAACTAAGTTTCTAAAATGATGCTGTTTACAGTCTTTGAGTAAATTAAGTGCCTGCTTAAACTTGAGATTATAGTAAAACTTCCATAGCCATCATATAACTTGAAATGCACAAGTGAAGTTTTAGGACCTAGGTTGGATGGATTGTTGTTTTTGGTTGGAAACAGTTTTTATATACAAAGTTAAATGTGACTTAAAACTCAAATCCTTCAAAAGGTATTTTGCACAAAAGTCTTTTATTAACTTAATAGGACACTACAGCATTTTTTGATAAAATCTTAAACATTTTTTTTTAGAATTTTATTTATAGATTTTCTTATAGGTAAAGACTTCCCTTTTGCTGATGAAGTCAATGTAAGTATTCAATTACATTTATATATAAAAAGTGATTGATTGAATATTTATCATATCACCGATGTGAGTAATTTCACATGTTCCTGTAATCTAGTTGTTGAAGTAATTCCTTGATTTTTAACCTTAATATAAAATATGTAACTGTTGGTCACTTTCCAGTGTTTGTAAAATACATGTACTTACATGTTCAGGCTTTGTGTGCAAGGTCATTCTTTTCAACCATTATTATTGGTCTCTATGGGAGACCAATAACTCTTAAACATTGAAGCAGTTGATTGTCATTATGTCTCCCAAAATTTTTGGGAGATATATTGTTTTTTCCGTCTGTCCATCTCTCAGTACAAACCCAGAGGTACTTGTGTGACTTGGAGAACAAAAGGTCACAGTAAATTCTCTTTGATTCTATTCATTCTGTTTTTACTTGTGTGTCTTTTTTAGCTCGACTATTAGATAAGAATAAGTAGAGCTATTGTAGTCACCCGAGCGTCGGCGTCGGCATAACCACTTATGTTAAAGTTTTTGTAATACCTGGAATATTTTCAAAGTCCATTGACATATGGCTTTGAAACTTTGCACACTTGTTCACCATCATGACCCCAACCTGTAGACAGGAGGAGGTAATTGTATCAAGCATTTTAACAGAATTATGCCCGTTTTTCGACTTAGAATTTATGTTAAAGTTTTTGTAATACCTCAAATATTTTCAAAGTTCATTGACATATGGCTTTGAAACTTTGCACACTTGTTCACCATCATGATCTTAACCTGTAGACAGGAGGAGGTAACTGTATCAAGCATGGACAGAATCATGCCCTTTTTTGACTTAGAATTTACATTAATGTTTGCATACCACCTCAGATATTTTCATATTCTTTTGACATCTGGCTTTGAAACAAGTTGAAATGTTATACTCTTCTTTGAAAGCATAATAGGACTCTGTTCAAGGCCTATAACTGTAACATGGTTTTAAAGAAATATTTTCCCCTTTTGTTAACTTAGAAAATTTTACATTATCAAGGTTTTTTTACTATCAGGCACTAAGAATAGTTGAGCGTTGCTATCCTACCGACAACTCTTGTTAAGCCTTGTTTGACTGAAAATGAATAAAATGATCAAAGGAAAAGTCACATAAGTACCATTTTGTAAGTTCGTCCGTCCGTACGCATTGAGCATGTCCCGCATTGAGCATGTCCGGCATTCACAGGACAAACTACTGGTGGGATTTCAATAAAACTTTACAGGAGTGATCAGTTCTATGCCCAGTTGTGCACATTACCAGAATGTTCCGCTTCGCTGAACAAAATGGCAGCCAGAGCTGAAAATAGAAAAATCTTTTCTGCTCTTCACAGGTCAATCTCCTTCTGGGATTTGAACCAAACTTTACAGGAGTGATCAGTACCATGCCTAGTTGTGCACATCACCAGCACGTTCCACTTGGCTGCACAAAATGGCTGCCAGAGCTAAAACTAGAAAAATCTTGTCTGGCTCTCACAGGTCAAACTATTGATAGGATTTCAACCAAACTTTACAGGAGCAATCAGTATCATCCCTAGTTGTGCACATCAGCCGCATGTTCCACTTCACTGCACAAAATGGCCACCAGAGCTAAAAATATACTGGTGGGACACCAATGAAATTTCATATGAGTGATCATTACCATCCCTAGTTGTGCATATTGCCAAAATGTTTCTGATACATAGTTTATGAGGACATATGTCTTTGTGACAAAAACCCTTCTAGTTAGATGTTTTATTTAACAAAAATTCTTGCCATGTCTTTGGTTTACTTTTCTATGCCTGACAGGAATAAAGAATGAACTTATAACTTACATGGTAAACATACAATTATTTTAAAATAAATCTTGTTAAATTTAGGGAAATATTTATTTGTTTGCAGCCAGAAGATGGAGCATGTCATGCAGAGAGGAGAGATGTGGACAAGGCTACCACATCATTAGGTAATATATATATTAATATGTATGTAAATACATGTACCCTTATTGAACCCAAATATCTCCAAAGCTGCTCTCTGGTTCTTTGACATTTTTCTTATATATTTGTACATATTTTTATTGTCTCTGAAAGTAGACCATCATCTAGTCCCCATATGTCTATTCTTTCATCTTTCCATCCATCCATCTGCACTACCGAATAGGGATAGGGGACCATCTAACTAAACAGAGCAAAAGATAACAATAGTTCATTCTGTAACAATAGAGTAAGGGAAAAATGACCATTATTAAAATTATGATAGAGAGCAAATGAAATGGCCCTTTATTGCATTTATTGGACATGACCATCTGTCTGTCCTTCACACTCTTGTCAGGAATAACTTGAAAAAGATTTGAAGGAGTTTAATTTAATCTTTACACAGTGATTAAGACCACAGAGAGAGGAAGTGCAGTATCCAGGAACCATAACTCTACCTTGCTTTATTTTTTTTAATTCTCTCCCATATGTGAATAATGCTTGTCCATACGTATAACTTCTAAACTATCAATGAGATCTTATTGAAACTTAACACAGCTGTAGAGATTAGAAAGAGGGAGTGCAGTGTCAAAGAACTATATATTGCTAAATTATGTAATTACCTCCCTTTATTAATCCCCTTCTACATAGCAGGGAGGGCATTGTAGGAATGGCCTCTGTCTGTCAGTCCAGCCGTCTGTTTGTACAAACAAATAGATTCTAAGGTGGCTATGGGAACAATAGGTAACAGTAAATTTCCTTTTTTCATTCAGTAAGCTCGTGGCTACTTTTTCTCACGTGGCTTAAAGAACAATAAAGAGTACAAAAAGAGTAGCCACCTTAGTACCAAACTTTGAGCATAACTTTAATTCTGCAAAAATGTTTTTGGAAAAACTTGGCAAAAGTTATCACCGTGCAGAGTGCAATAATTTGGTTGCTACCCCTTAGGTCAAGGTCAAACTTAAAGGTCAAATGTTAAAAAAATGTCTACATTTTGTGTCTGCTCCATAACTTTTAATTGGCTTAAATTTTTCTGAAATAACTTGTCACATGTGATCACCATTATAAAACTATGTGCAGAGCCCAATGATTGGGTTGCTATCTCCAAGGTCAAGGTCACACTTAAAGGTCAAGTGTTAAATGTCTATATTTTATGTCAGCTCCATATCTTTTTAACTTCAGAATATTTTGTTAAATAACTTGGCACAAGTTATCACAATTATGAAACATGTGCAGATTGCAATAATTGGGTTGCTACCCCCATGGTTAAGGTCTGTGTCTGCTCCATAACTTATAAACAACTGAAATTTTATTAGCTCACCAGAGCTTGCTCAGGGTGAGCTTTTAGGATCGTTGAATGTCCGTTGTTTTGTCCGTCCACACTTGTTTGTTAACACTATAGCATTTTTGTCTCAATCATCATCAAACTTTGTCAGGATGCTTATCTAGTTGATAGCTCGGATGAGTTCGAACATGGGTCATCTCGGATGAAAAACTAGGTCACAGGAGCTAAAAATAGAAAAACCTTGTTAACACTCTAGCGGTCACATTTTTGCCTCAATCATCATCAAACTTGGTCAGAATGCTTGTCTAGGTGATAGCTCGGATAAGTCCGAACATTGGTCATCTCAAGAGAATACAAAATTTATGGCAAAACTGATGTGTTAAATTCTGATATGACTTTGACCATTAATTGACCTTTACGGTCAAGGTCAAATTATTAAAATTTGCTTAAACTCTCATACTAAATCGTTATTTATTTATACAGTCAAACTTTGTTCGCTCGAACTCGGAGGGCCTATGCAAATAGGCCTACAGGTTTTCCAGCTGACATCGGTCAAATGATAAATACGTCAATTTTAATTGTTTATTAGTACATCAGTTTGTCGAATATGTCTTATTCAGAATTATTATCCCAGTGTTTCAATTAAGTATTACCGGTATGCTGTGTTAATCTATATTCATGCATATTGTAATTGGTTTAGTTTGATTGGGCTATCAGACCAAACTTGTTAAACAATGTTAAAACTATATTTATATGTTTATTATGGGATAATTTAATTTAAAAAAATAATTAATGAAATATTTAAAAAGAAACTTTTTTACAGCAGCATCTATTTGTAGTCATTTACTAAAATAAACGCACGTACAAGTATCATTCTATAAATAGATAACGCTGTTACAATTAACGTTACATGAACCATGATTGTAATTAAAGCCGTCTGGGTAAAATCATTCTTTATTGGCTTGCCTATTTCACTTATTTCACGAGTTATTTTCTTTTTATCGTTACCATAAACAGCAAATCAACAACATTATCATAACTAACAAATCAGTTACAACACCTCTTATTTTGTATCAATTAACCTTAATTACCTTTGTCACGATCACTAGGTGTTTAAAACATGTGTCGCCGACTGTCATTTATTTAGGACATGTCGACTTGTCCTTTTGTGTTCGACCAAAACAGGTGTGATTTTCACTATATTTCTGCCGAAGGGACCAGAGATCAGGTTCGAGAGTTCAAGCGACCGGTGTTCGAGCAATCTGAGGTAGAACAATATATGTTATATAGGAATTTTGCCAGGACTTGGCGATGAGTTCGAGCGAAGGGAGGTATTTGAGCGATACGAGTTCAAGCGAATGAAGTTTAACTGTAAATTTGATTCATTCTTGGACAAAAGAGCACATACAACAAAACTGATATGATGATTAATTATGTCTAGACATATTGTTTTCGCCTTTACAGTCCATCTGTCCAAACATACCCAGTAGGTTTGTGTACAATTTGATATTATGAGGTTGACATTCCATACAAACTGTTATTCTGGAGTCAGAAATTGTACTCTGGGGTTAAAATGTCATTTTGGGGTTCAAAAAGATCAACAGAACTTTAAAAGAATAACCCTGTAAAGTTAGTCTGGTAGGAATGTCCGTCCATTTGGACTAAAAATAATAAGCTTGTTGAACTTTCACAGGTCAAACTGGCGGTGGAATTTCAACGAAACTTCACAGGACTCAGCAGATTACCCTAGTTGGCATGTTATGCTTTGATGCACAAAATGGCCCTCAGAGCTAAAAATAAAAAAAGTTTTGTTCCACTTTTACAGGTCAAACTGCTTGGAAAAATTTGCTGAAACTGTACAGGAGTAATCAACCAACTCTAGTTGTGCATATCACATGTATGTTCTGCTTCAATGCACAGAGTGGCCAGCAGAGCTGAAAATAGTAAAAAATCTTGTCTGGCTTTCCGAGGTCAAACAGCTAGTGAGATTCACATGCTGCTGTTCCACCCTTATAGTAAATAAGTGGGAGACATACTTTTTTGTGAAAAAAAAACCTTTCATGTTCAAATGTGACCTTGACCCTTTAAATACCTTGACCATCATGGTCAAATATAAAATTTGAATGTTATTTGACCCAAGTAAATTATGTTTTGTAGGAGTGCTCTATACTATAATTCTTCCGCTGTTGTGTTTGCATGACTTTAGAAGTAAGAAAACATCTGGAGTGTGTCTTCCTAGTCGGTGTTTTATGTTGTCAGAGTTATGGCCCTTTAAAGTTATTAATTTTTACAGTTTGTCTGGTCTACTTCTCTTATATAGTCTGCTTATGCAATTTGAATGAAATTTTACAGTTTTGGATGGTACCTCAAGAACTTGCACATCATTAAAGGGTTCTTAGGTTGAACGATTTTTTGCCGAGTCATGGCCCTTAAATAAAAAGGTGTTTTGGCCAGTTTTTTTTAACTGATGATATAATGTTACTTTCCTAGATTACATTTTCTTTATACAGATAGCAACATACGTGATAACATTGAAGAGGTTTGGAAGAAGTTAGAATTTAAAGTACTGGATGATAGAAACACAGTTTATAAAAAGGATGCAACAAAACAAGTTAATATTTCGATGTTGCAATATGCTTTCAAATCAGAGGTTGCTAAAATCGATTTCCTTAGAAGAATAGAAGGAGGTTATGAATTTGAAGTTGAATCTCCTGGGGTTGTTCATGTCAGTGGAGAATGCTTTGACAAAAACAAGATTGACGAGCTTTGGGTCAAATTAATTTCGTCAATTAATGATGCATTGACACAACGCAATGTTGTGACATCATACAAATTTCGGAGTAGGACAGAGATGGAAAATACTCTACAAAAGTTAGATAGAAAAACAAAGCACCTGACAGAGTCAGGAATAATAGGCATATTTACATCTTATGAAGATAATGTGTGTATTGCAAAATTTGTTGCAGCACAACCTGACTTGGATAAGTTCATACCAAAACTGCATCTTTCTATGGCCTCTGGTAAAAATGCTACATTTGGTCACCTTAAAAAGGTTGAAGAATACCATAAAAAAAATGTTCGGGTTGATTCAATAGATATTTTAGAAGATGAAGACAAATACTTTCAAACTATGGATTATCTTGTCCATTTGCGTGGAAAATTTCCTCATGTAAGAATCACAAGAGAAGATACTGACAGTGCAACTTATAAGTTTATTTGTGTAGATGAACATGAGCTTATGGAGGCTATGTCATGGTTTCATAGTTGCATAAATGAGATGGAAAGAAAAATGGTTGATGTTTCGCCTGACGGATTCAAATTCATTAGCAAAAATAAAAATGTACAGGCATATTTAGAAATAAGGCTACGAAAAGTGCAATCAGCATTAATGATTTACTCAGACAAGATTTATGTTTTATGTCAGGAAAAATATCTGGAAACTTCTGAAAGAATTGTTATTGACAACATCAAAACTGTTGAACTTGAAGGCTGTTTGTTCCCTGAAGCAGAAGAGATTCAGAAGAACTGTCATGGAAAAATACAGGTTTTCAAAGGAAATAAACCAGGGATGATGATAATTTGGTATACTGTAGATAAATCTGTTGAGGCAAAGAAGTTGATAGATTTGGTACAAAAATACAGGAAATACAAGAGAAAGCCATATTCTGACAAGGAGATAAAGGAAATGAAAGCTCTTGGTGTTATGGAGGAGTTACAGGAGGAATATAAAGATATTCTTATTCGTACAGGAGATACAGATGTTATACTACAAGGCCCAGAAATGGATCAATTGGATGCTTGTTTCAAGAAGTTAGACACTGCACTACAAAAGATCGACTTTGTTGAGCTTAATTCTCTACCAAATTTACAACAGAAGCTGCTTCAAAATGGCAAAGTACAAAAATATGTGGCAGAAAAGTTAAAGAGAAAGACAGCAATTTGTGAAGATGCCAAAGCGGTCACTGGCTTTGTTTTTAGAAAAGAGAATGAGAAATCCAAATCAAGTATTTACTTGGAGATAAAAAACTGTTTTGTAGAAATGAAAATTGATACACAATGTCTTGAACATGAAAAAGGAAAGAGTTTTCTTTCAGAGCATCCAGAAGAGGTGGTAATTGGAGATCAAAGGAACAAAACTTTCTGTAGTATATGTTGTACTGCAGATTTGAGTCAAGAAATTAGACTTTTACTATATTCTTATAGCAAAAGTTGTACTCCTATTGTGGCAAACTATCTTCTTTCATTTGGTGCCAAATGTCTTGAAGAGATTAAGGAAAAACATAAGGTTGGTATTGAAATTGAAAATGACAGAATCTGTATCAAGGGACAGTATAGTAGAGGAAAAAATGTTGTTACTGAAATAGAAAGTCATCTGAACACCACTGTTTTACATTTTGGGAAGCTTGATTATAAAAGAAAACAGTTGTTAGCAGCTGACAAAAATCAAATTGACTCTGTTGCTGAGAACTGCAGATGTTGCTTGAAGGCTGAGGTATTTCCATTCCAGTCAATACAGACTGAAGGTAAGACTTTTAACAAGATAAAATATCATGATAAAGTATTGTTTGATGAGTATAAATATCTAAAATTGATTGATTAAAGTATAATTATAAAACAAAAGTACAACAGCATCTAGATGTAGCACATTTTTATCTGTGTACTTCATATGTTTACCAGTCTAATGATATGTGAGGTGAGAAAACATGGTTTACACCCCAGTATGATGATTATCTGAGAAGCAATACACAATTACACAAACTTTATTTGAAAGATAACACATAATACGCATCTTTTTATCTATAAACGAGTAACCATCATGTTTTTTATTTTCACTATAAGAGATTGGAATGGTTCTATTTTCAGAGAAAGGTATTGAATATCTATGCACATGGAATCTGCCATGCAGAAAGGAACAAATTTCAATCGCTAAGATAGATTACAACACAGCGAAGCTTGATGGGCTCATAGTTCCTGTAAATGAGTGTCTTTATGGAGAAGATATCAATGGAAAAGGTAAAAGATATTTATAATTTTTTGACTTGTGGTAGCTCATAATTGAATCAGTTCATTATACTTATTGTTGTATCCACAAAGCGTAAAATTATAGTGGCCTCCATTGATTATTGGTTATGGAATTCAACTTCAAATCACTTGCCTTCACTGTTGTAAGTTTAAATCCTGTCAGGGATTTTGGAATCTTTCATATGAAGACATTAATTGATCTATTTTAATATGACATTTGTGTATACTGGTTGGAGAGATAACTCCGACACTAAATCACATATTTTTTGCAATATTTTAATTATCTTCCAGTATATTTTAAATATTGAACCACCTAAACAAAGTTCAGTTCAAAGACTTTACATTACACTACAAAAATTATGTACTGAAATGGAATCTGGTACTTCTTTAAGGTCTTGAATGAGGTATACAAAACATAGTCTTTTTACCCCACAACAGTAGATAAAGTCGACACTTAAATTTTTAAGTAAAAAAAGACTGGAAAATCAGCATCAATAATTTATCTTTACATCTTGTATGGTTTATCTATTTTTAGCTCACCTGTCACAAAGTGACAGGGTGAGCTTTTGTGATTGCTTTTCGTCCGGCGTCCGTCCGTAAACTTTTGCTTTAAATGACATCTCCTCATAAACCACTGAGCCAATTTCATCCAAACTTCACAGGAATGTTCCTTTGGTGGTCACCTTTAAAAATTGTTCAAAGAATTTAATTCCATGCAGAACTCTGGTTGCCATGGCAACCGAAAGAAAAATCTTTAAATATCTTCTTTTAACAAACCATAAGAGCTAGAGCTTAGATATTTGGCATGAAACATCTTCTAATGAGTGTCTACCAAGTTTGTTCAAATAAAAGCCCTGGGGTCAAAATTGACCCCGCCCCAGGGGGTCATTGATTTTCCCTATATGCATATAGTGAAAACTTAAAAAATCTTCTTTTAAAGAACCCAAAGAGCTAGAGCTTAGATATTTGGCATGAAACATCTTCTAATGAGTGTCTACCAAGTTTGTTCAAATAAAAGCCCTGGGGTCAAAATTGGCCCTACCCCAGGGGGTCATAGATTTTCCCTATATGCATATAGTAAAAACTTAAAAAATCTTCTTTTAAAGAACTGTAAGAGCTAGAGCTTAGATATTTGGCATGAAACATCTTCTAGTGAATGTCTACAAAGTTTGTTCAAATAAAAGCCCTTGGGTCAAAATTGACCCCGCCCCATGGGGTCATTGATTTTCCCTATATGCATATAGTAAAAACTTAAAAAATCTTCTTTTAAAGAACCCAAAGAGCTAAAGCTAAGATATTTAGCATGAAACATCTTCTAATGAATGTCTACCAAGATTGTTCAAATAAAAGCCCTGAGGTCAAAATTGACCCCGCCCCAGGGGGTCATAGATTTTCCCTATATGCATACAGTAAAAACTTAGAAAATCTTCTTTTAAAGAACCCAAAGAGCTAGAGCTAAGATATTTGGCATGGAACATCTTCTAGTGAATGTCTACAAAGTTTGTTCAAATAAAAGCCCTTGGGTCAAAATTGGCCCCGCCCCGGGGGGTCATTTATTTTCCCTATATGTATATTGTAAAAACTTAAAAATCTTCTTTTAAAGAACCGTAAGAGCTAGAGCTTAGATATTTGGCATGAAACATCTTCTAGTGAATGTCTACCAAGTTTGTTCAAATAAAAGCCCTGGGGTCAAAATTGGCCCCGCCCCTGGGGGTCATTGATTTTCCCTATATGCATATAGTAAAAACTTAAAAAATCTTCTTTTAAAGAACCCAAAGAGCTAGAGCTAAGATATTTAGCATGAAACATGTTCTAATGGGTGTCTACCAAGTTTGTTCAAATAAAAGCCCTGGGGTCAAAACTGGCCCCACCCCGGGGTCATTGATTTTCCTTATGTATAGCAAAAATTTAAAAAATCTTCTTTGAAAAAACCCAAATACCTAGAGTTTAGATATTAAGCATGAAACATCTTCTAGTAAGTGTCTACAAAGTTTGTTCAAATAAAAGCCCTGGGGTCAAAACTGGCCCTGCCCCAGGGGTGTCATTGTTTTTAACTATATGTGTATAGTAAAAACTTAAAAAATCTTCTTTTAAAAAACCCAATGAGCTAGAACTTAGATGTTTAGCATGAAACATCTTATGGGTGTCTACCAAGTCTGTTCAAATAAACAAATAAAAGCCCTGGGGTAAAATTGGCCCGGGCGGGGGGGGGAGGGGGGGTCTATATACAGGTGAGCGACCTCAGGGCCATCATGGCCCTCTTGTTTGTAAATATTTCAATAATTTTTTAACAATCTTTCCCAAGTCAGTGGCCTGTGGTCAATACATTTCTAACTACCTTATTGTAATTTAGTAAAAAGAACGTTTTGAAGCAGTTTTTGCCTACAAAAAGTTTAGGTTATTTGAAAAACATTAAAAAGTTAAGCAAATTATAATAAAGCATCACATTCTGTCCTGTTCCTATACTATTAGGTGATCATGTGCTTGTTTGTTGAAAAAAAAAGCTATAACAATTATACTTATCAAGTGTCGGGGTTATCTATGCGTCGGAGTTATCTCTCTGACCAGTATATGTTGTGTATATGTTGTGTACATGTAAACTTTTTATATATTGAAATTATGTTGTGTACATCAGCTGAGGCCCACATGAAAGATCGGGAAACCGAAGGTGTAAGCCTCGTTAAATAAAGTTGTTACTTACTTACTTACTTACCTACTTTCAAGCTAGTTTAGGGACAGTCAGTGGTTCTACTCAGGTGACAACTTGTGTCCAAAACATAATGCAGGAAAGTGCACCTAAGGTAAAGTTCCTTAATCATTAAAGCTTGAAAGATGCCATATGACCTCTACTGTGTTTTAGTAAAACTCAATAAAGTAAAACAAAACTTAAATTATATGTAGAAATATTTGCAATCTCTGTAAGATGGCTATTCCATGGTACACAATTCTCGATGTGTGTCTGGGGCATGTCTGTGAGTATTATTCCATGGGTATGTTAATTGATCCGTTATGGTATAGCAAACAGAGAATAAATTTGTAGAATATGATATAATTTTCTCCTCATACCAAAAGCATTTTGTTCATCAAAGAACTTATTTAGAAAGGACAAACATTAAGTACCAGTTAGGTTCTTGATTTTCAATTCTTTTGCCACTGAAAAGTCGAAGACCAGATGTTTTTTTATCACCAGCATATCTTTGTAATCTGTCAGCAATGCATTATACAGTTGTGGTTCTCCCGCACTATTTCAATGAGTTCATCAGTATTTACTTTCAAAGTTGATAAAGTATTTAATTTTGTTCGAGACATCTTAATGTGAAGGTGACTATTTGCATCTGTAAAAAGTCCCTCATCCTGCAAAACGTTACTGAAGTCATCATGGATGCGGATGATAAATAGACAAAAGGAATAGACTCAACGTACTTTTGTTGAGTGAATTGGTTGCAGACGTGGATTACAGATCAGCGACCTCATCAAGATTTCTGATTCATGTTTTTACGCTTTTTCATTATGAATGCTTTATTTCTTAAGGTATTTACTTCAGATATGTTTCTGATCATCAACCACATCATAATGTGATAAGGTTTAAAACTTTAGCACAAAAATGATCAGACTTACCCCCCTTGAATTTTTAGAATTTTCTTTAAAAAGATGATGTTTTTTTCATAATTTCTTTATTTCTTAATATATCTGCTTAAAACTTCATATATATGTTTCTTATCATCACTCAAATCATTTGTAAGAAGGTTCAATATTCTTGCTTTACTATTTCCAGAATTATGTACCCATCTTGAATGTAAATTTTTTCCCCCAGAAATTATTATTTTTTACTCAAACTTCTTCATTTCTTATAGCATTTACTTTAAACTCCCACATCATAATAATATGACAAGGGTTATAAATTTAGTGTCCATGTATCCAGGATTATCTCCTCCTTAAACTTTGAATTTTTCTTATTTATTCTTTAACTTTCTTATTTCTCCATGGATTGATTTCAAATTTAAAAAAGACATTCATTATCAACACCTACATCATATGTCATTTGATTTATCATGATTATTTTCATAATGCCCCCACCATGAAATGCGTTATCATCAGTTTCCATTCATTATCTAAGTAATGGTTGCACACATTCAATTTCATTATCTTAGTAACGGTTGCACTCATTCAACTCAAATTTGACATATATCATGAAAAAATACAGGTAAAGTTTGAATTTGGTCATGGTCCAATGATTTTTGACAGAGTTATGCCCCTTGATGAAAATTTCAGTTTCCGTTCATTATTTCCCTAATGGTATTTCATATTCAACTCAAATTTGACATATATATATGTCAATTGAAGGGGTAGGTCAAGTTCGACTTTAGTCATGGTTTGATGATTTTTGGGAGAGTTATGCCCCTTTAACTTTGAAAAAAAGGAAATTTTCATTTTCCTTCATTATCTCTCCAACAGTTGTACATATTCAACTCAAATTTAAAATATGGATATGTCAGAAGAATGCAGTGGTCAAGTTTGAGGTCAAGTTCATGGTTTGATGATAGCTGACAGAGTTATCCCTCTTGAACTTGGAAAAAAAAAAAGTTTCTGTTCATTTTATCTCTCCAATGGTTGTACACATTCAACTCAAATTTGACATATAGATACATCTTATAGACATGTTAATAAGTCTAACATCTTTATTTCAAGAGTTATCTCCTCTTAGTTTAAGTATTTTGCTTTTAAAAATGTTATTTTCTGGTAACAACCAAGATGTTTAAAGATTTACCCTCAGAGTGTCTTTCAGTCCATTTGTCTGTCCATTCCTAAAAACTGTTTCCTGGGATCATATTTAAAGAACTTTTTAAAATAGAGAAATGTTGAAACATTAGTTATACTTATTCATCCTGAGAAAATTGGATTTTTTGATTATCTGTTGTATAAACATAATTTTCTTACTAAGCAGGGAAACATTACTATGATTTACTCAAAGGATTTAAGTTCCTTCATGTCATTCATTCAGTAGCATATAATTGAATGGCCAATGACCCATCAGAATGTTGCTGGGGTTCTAACCGGTAGAAGATGATTTTTTTTAGGGAAATAGTTCCAAGTTCTGTCATTAAGTTTGTTCCTGGTTAGGTGTTGAAGGTCAATGACCTCAAACCATTCTCTTTCACTGTTGTTGGTTGGAAACTCACTTGGGACTTTTGATTGTTTCATGCGAGGTGGCTATCATGTTAGCTTAAGGAACAATGGTGGTTCTATTTGAGTGCTCGTCAGACCAAACAAATAATGGTGGTGAAATTTCAGACCCTGATATGCTTATTTGCAAAATCCGAAAGTAGTCCATCTTGAATTCTTCCCTTTATAAGTACACTTACATCAAAAAATTTAGGGGAGATCACTGTGTAAAGATTGTCAATAATTTTCAAACCTTCTCAGGGAAGAAAAAATAGTTCCCGATTGGTCAAAGATATCTAATATTGTGTAATTCTTTTAACATTTTTGCAAATTACCGGCAATATATTTAATCAATTTTGTCATGGGGATGAATATCATTTTTATCAATGAAAATTGCTCGGCAAATACAAAGAGCTATTTTTAGCCACACTTAAGTGTGTATTACACAAAGAGTAGTGAAATATTTTATACATGTGAGAAGATTTTTGATAAATTATTTCACAAATATACATGCTTATATTAAGCTCCATGATTATTTACATCAGTGTTAAACAACAGGTTTACCATGAACAAAATATTTCAAAATTAATAAGGATTAATTTTACAAACCCTAATTTAGAATAATATGGTTTGCTTCAGGCTGTTCCCCTGGCCCAGGGCTTACACACTCATTTAAGAAGTGAGAAGTCAGGAGTTCAAATCCCTGTTAAAGCAACTCATTTTTTTTAAAACTGTTTAAGCCAAATAAACTTTGAATTGAATGTAAGTGTTGCAATTAGCCTTATAGCCAAGAAGGCTTATAACAGACTTATAACACTGGAAACAGCATTGGTGGCACTATACAAAAACAAATTGGTTTATAATCTGACAACCTTCACCTTTCTGACATTCTGAGACCCAAACATTTAATTCAGCGCCCTCTGTTATGTTAAGAACTTATCATAGCTATTATTTATGAAATTTAATGATAAATTATTTTTAGTTCATTGAAGAGGTATTTTTAGTATTTTTCATGAATTGATAAAGTTGTGTGATTTTAATTAAATACATTGTGTTTTGTTAATTCCATTAAGATTTTATAGTGTTTTATTTTTTATATGCCCGAAAGGGCATATTATGTTATACCCCCTGGCGTCTGTCCGTCCGTCCGTCCGTCTGTTAGCAATTTGGTTTCCAGAGCATAACTTAAGTTCCATTTGACCCACAATGTTCAAACTTCATAGGATGATTGTCCATATTGGGTAGAAGATCCCTATTGATTTTGGGGTCAAAAGGTCAAAGGTCAAGGTCACTATTACCTTGATACTGAAAACAGTTTCCGTCCGTTAGCAATTTGTCCGTTAGCAATTTGGTTTCCGGAGCATAACTTAAGTTTCATTTGGCCCACAATGTTCAAACTTCATAGGATGATTGTCCATATTGGGTAGAAGACCCCTATTGATTTTGGGGTCAAAAGGTCAAAGGTCAAGGTCACTATTTCCTTAAAACTGAAAACAGTTTCCGGAGCATAACTTAAGTTCCATTTGACCAACAATGTTCAAACTTCATAGGATGATTGTCCATATTGGGTAGAAGATCCCTATTGATTTTGGGATCAAAAGGTCAAAGGTCAAGGTCACTATAACATTGATACTGAAAACAGTTTCCGTCCGTTAGCAATTTGTCCGTTAGCAATTTGGTTTCCGGAGCATAACTTAAGTTCCATTTGGCCCACAATGTTCAAACTTCATAGGATGATTGTCCATATTGGGTAGAAGACCCCTATTGATTTTGGGGTCAAAAGGTCATGGTCACTATTTCCTTAAAACTGAAAACAGTTTCCAGAGCATAACTTAAGTTCCATTTGACCCACAATGTTCAAACTTCATAGGATGATTGTCCATATTGGGTAGAAGACTCCTATTGATTTTGGGATCAAAAGGTCAAAGGTCAAGGTCACTATTACATTGATACTGAAAACAGTTTCCGTCCGTTAGCAATTTTATCCGTTAGCAATTTGGTGTCCGGAGCATAACTTAAGTTCCATTTGGCGCACAATGTTCAAACTTCATAGGATGATTGTCCATATTGGGTAGAAGATCCCTATTGATTTTGGGGTCAAAGGTCAAGGTCACTATTACCTTGATACTGAAAACAGTTTCCGTCCGTTAGCAATTTGTCCGTTAGCAATTTGGTTTCCGGAGCATAACTTAAGTTCCATTTGGCCCACAATGTTCAAACTTCATAGGATGATTGTCCATATTGGGAGGAAGACCCCTTTTGATTTTGGGGTCAAAAGGTCAAGGTCACTATTACCTTAAAACTGAAAACAGTTTCCGGAGCATAACTTAAGTTCCATTTGACCAACAATGTTCAAACTTCATAGGATGATTGTCCATATTGGGTAGAAGACCCCTATTGATTTTGGGGTCAAAGGTCAAGGTCACTATTACCTTGATACTGAAAACAGTTTCGGTCCGTTAGCAATTTGTCCGTTAGCAATTTGGTTTCTGGAGCATAACTTAAGTTCCATTTGGCCCACAATGTTCAAACTTCATAGGATGATTGTCCATATTGGGTAGAAGACCCCTATTGATTTTGGGGTCAAAAAGTCAAAGGTCAAGGTCACTATTACCTTAAAACTGAAAACAATTTCCGGAGCATAACTTAAGTTCCATTTGACCAACAATGTTCAAACTTCATAGGATGATTGTCCATATTGGGTAGAAGACCTCTATTGATTTTGGGGTCAATGGTCAAGGTCACTATTACCTTGATACTGAAATCAGTTTCCCTCCGTTAGCAATTTGTCCGTTAGCAATTTGGTTTCCGGAGCATAACTTAAGTTCCATTTGGCCCACAATGTTCAAACTTTATAGCATGATTGTCCATATTGGGTAGAAGACCCCTATTGATTTTGGGGTCAAAAGGTCAAAGGTCAAGGTCACTATTACCTAAAAACTGAAAACAGTTTCCGGAGCATAACTTAAGTTTCATTTGACCAACAATGTTCAAACTTCATAGGATGATTGTCCATATTGGGTAGAAAAACCCCTATTGATTTAGGGGTCAAAAGGTCAAAGGTCAAGGTCACAATTACCTTGATACTGAAAACAGTTTCCGTCCGTTAGCAATTTGTCCGTTAGCAATTTGGTTTCCGGAGCATAACTTAAGTTCCATTTGGCCCACAATGTTCAAACTTCATAGGATGATTGTCCATATTGGGTAGAAGACCCCTATTGATTTTGGGGTCAAAGGTCAAGGTCACTATTACCTTAAAACTGAAAACAGTTTCCAGAGCATAACTTAAGTTCCATTTGACCCACAATGTTCAAACTTCATAGGATGATTGTCCATATTGGGTAGAAGACTCCTATTGATTTTGGGGTCCAAAGGTCAAGGTCACTATTACCTTGATACTGAAAACAGTTTCCGTCCGTTAGCAATTTGTCCGTTAGCAATTTGGTTTCCGGAGCATAACTTAAGTTCCATTTGGCCAACAATGTTCAAACTTCGTAGGATGATTGTCCATATTGGGTAGAAGACCCCTATTGATTTTGGGGTCAAAAGGTCAAGGGTCAAGGTCACTATTACCTTAAAACTGAAAACAGTTTCCGAAGCACAACTTGAGTTCCATTTGACCAACAATGTTCAAACTTCATAGGATGATTGTCCATATTGGGTAGAAGACCCCTATTCATTTTGGGGTCACAAGGTCAAAGGTCAAGGTCACTATTACCTCGATACTTAAAACAGTTTCCGGAGCATAACTTAAGTTCCATTTGGCCCACAATATTCAAATTTCATAGGATGATTGTCCATATTTGGTAGAAGACCCCTATTGATTTTTTGGGTCAAAAGGTTAAAGGTCAAGGTCACTATCACCTTAAAATTGAAAACAGTTTCTGGAGCATAAGTAAAGTTCCATTTGGCCCACAATATTCAAACTCCTTAGGATGTTTGTCCATATAAGGTAGAAGACCCCTATTGATTTTAGGGTCACAAGGTCAAAGGTTAAGGTTATTATTAATAACTTAAGTATTAATCAACCTACATCTGTAAAATTTTATAGGATGAACAGCTAATTCCCATGTCTTACAAATGCTTCATCTTTACTAAAAAAAAAACACTTTCGGGCATATAATGCTCCGCCTAGCGGTGCTCTTGTTTAACTTTACTTTCTTTATGAAATTTAATGATAGATATTTTGATGAATTATATTTAGTTCACATGGAATATTTTAGCAAGCAATCAAAATATTTTCTAGATGAAAGACATTATTCTCCTGACCAAAGCCATCAACCTAAGCTGAGAATTGGGGACTCAGAAGAAATGGTATGGGAAAACGAGTGTGTTAGTGTCAAATGCTTTGCCCTGGTGACATCAGAAAGTGGCCTAAGCCAAAACAAACAAACTAGGCAAAATATTAATGCTAGTGACCTAAAAAGATTCTGTTTTGCCATTTTTGAAAAGATGTTTAGTGAGAGAACATACAAAGTTGGATTTGAATTACCTACAAGAGACCCAAACTTGATAGGGAAATTAGACGCAGTTATTGAAGCATTTCAAGACATTAAAACAACACATGTTTACCATAGTATGTCAGATCCCAAACTTATATTTGGTGTGAAGACTGAAGCTGAGAGATGGATGAAGGAGGTTGATGATACTCTCAAGTATACCCCTAATGCTAGGCGCATTATTTCCCCTAGATATAAAGGTAAATGTTCACTGATAGATTCTATCTCTTTTATCTTCTGTCAAATGATATTTTGATTTCTTAAATGAATGTTTTTGGCTTACTGATATAGATATGTTAGCTTGATTCACTCCATTACTTTACCCTATTTACCATGTGCATTTGAACAGGCCAAGAATATTAAATTATCCTTTTCATCCAACTGTCTCTCTGATTCTTCCCAGAGGCCTGTCATGAAATAATCATTAAGGAGCATCTCGGAACTTCAACTATCCAAGCTGTACAATTGCCATTTAACCTAAATAGTAATTAAATTTTGTAGATTATTGTCTCCACTGATATTTTATTTCTTTTATCATTTTCAGGTCTTTTGAACAGTCCATGTACAAGTGTAGAGATAGCCAAGAAGTCTATTCTTGAGACAGGTGTAAGTTTTAATGTATGGTATTTAACTGTCGAGCACTGTTAAATGCTAGTCTGTCTATGTTTTTGTCTAAACTATTTGGGCCTACCTGTTTTGTTGACATGATTGTTTGTAAGTTTTGACTAGATGTGTATTACTAGTGCATTATGAAAAGGTTTAACATATTTACATTCTGCCATTATAGTATTTGTGTTACAATTTACCATTATTGTAAGCATTCAAAAAGGGTGGCTAAGTTTTTGAAATTAAATCTTTTGAACATATCAGAATTTAATGTGGAATGCAAATCTAGATTTATTGAATTCCTCTATATTTTATACCATGTTCTTATACCAGTATTACACTTACCAGTAGCCATTTGACACACAGACTTTTGAATGGCAGATAAAGAACTTTGACTTTATCATGTAAAATGTGATGAACCATAACCTTTTGCAACCAGTTTTTACATTTCAGGCAAACTGTATAGTTGTAGCAATTTCTCAAGATCTAGATCTGTCAAAGGGATTTGTTTCAAATCTTGTCAGCAAGGCATGTGGTAAACAGTTGAAAGCAGAGTTGTCCTCAAAATGCAAAAAACCTCCAAAGTTTTGGGACCTTGTTATGTGCCAGTCATATAACTTGGCTGAAAAGGGAATCCAGAAGGTGATCTTTGGTTATATACCATGTTGGAAAGATTGCAATAAAATTGAGGTGAGTTTGTTTTTTTTCTCTTACAAAATTGTATTGCCTTTGACTTAGTCTGCCTAGATCATTTTGAAATTTTGAATAACTGGAAGGTATGACATTCTTCTATTTCTATTCTTTAAAGGATTTGGAGTAACTGTGTTTTGTTCTATGAAGAATTTGTATGCTTTATTACGTTTTTTTTAGCTCACCTGAGCATATGCTCAGGGTGAGCTATTAGGATCACTCTTCGTCCGTCGTCTGTCGTCCGTCGTACGTCATCCGTTGTCCGTTCACACTTTTCAAACGACATCTCCTCTGAAACCATAAGGCAGATCATAATGAAACTTCACAGGGATGTTCCTTGTGTGAAGCCTTAACAAAGCTGTTCAAAGAATTCCATTCCATGCAGAACTCTGGTTGCCATGGCAACCAAAAGAGCCATGGCAACCAAAAGAAAAAAACTTTAAACATCTTCTTCTAGAAAACCAAAGAGCTAGAGCTTAGATATTTGGCATTATATTTGGCATGAAACATCTTCTAGTGAGTGTCTACCAAGATTGTTCAAATAAAAGCCCTGGGGTCAAAATTGGCCCCGCCCCAGGGGGTTATTGATTTTCCCTATATGCATATAGTAAAAACTTAAAAAAAAATCTCTTTTTAAAGAACCCAAAGAGCTAGACCTAAGATATTTAAGCATGAAACATCTTTAATGAGTGTCTAACCAAGATTGTTCAAATAAAAGCCCCTGGGGTCAAAATTGGCCCCGCCCCAGGGGGTCATTGATTTTCCCTATATGCATATATGTAAAAGCTTAAAAAAATCTTCTTCTAAAAAAACCCAAAGAGCTAGAGCTTAGATATTTGGCATGAAACATGTTCTAATAGATGTCTACCAAGTTTGTTCAAATAAAAGCCCTGGGGTCAAAATTGGCCCCGCCCCAGGGGGTCATTGATTTTCCCTACATGCATATAGTAAAAACTTAAAAAAATCTTCTTTTAAAGAACCCAAAGAGCTTGACCTAAGATATTAAGCATGAAACATCTTCTAATAAGTGTCTACCAAGATTGTTCAAATAAAAGCCCTGGGTCAAAATTGGCCCCGCCCCAGGGGGTCATTGATTTTCCCTATATGCATATAGTAAAAAAACTTTAAAAAAATCTTCTTTTAAAAAACCCAAAGAGCTAGACCTAAGATATTAAGCATGAAAACATCTTCTAATAAGTGTCTACCAAGATTGTTCAAATAAAAGCCCTTGGGTCAAAATTGGCCCCTGCCCCAGGGGGTCATTGATTTTCCTTATATGCATATAGTAAAAACTTAAAAAAATCTTCTTCTAAAAAAACCCAAAGAGCTAAAGCTTAGATATTTGGCATGAAACATGTTCTAATGGATGTCTACCAAGTTTGTTCAAATAAAAAGCCCTGGGGTCAAAATTGGCCCCGCCCCAGGGGGTCATTGATTTTCCCTATATGCATATAGTAAAAACTTAAAAAATCTTCTTTTAAAGAACCCAAAGAGCTAGACCTAAGATATTAAGCATGAAACATCTTCTAATAAGTGTCTACCAAGATTGTTCAAATAAAAAAGCCCTGGGGTCAAAAATTGGCCCCGCCCCAGGGGGTCATTGATTTTCCCTATATGCATATAGTAAAAACTTAAAAAATCTTCTTCTAAAAAACCCAAAGAGCTAGAGCTTAGATATTTGGCATAAAACATGTTCTAATGGATGTCTACCAAGTTTGTTCAAATAAAAGCCCTGGGGTCAATATTGGCCCAGCCCCAGGGGGTCATTGATTTTTCCCTATATGCATATAGTAAAAACTTAAAAAATCTTCTCTTAAAGAACCCAAAAGAGCTAGAGCTAAGATATTAAGCATGAAACATCTTCTTAATCAGTGTCTACCAAGTTTGTTCAAATAAAAGCCCTTGGGTCAAAATTGGCCCCGCCCCAGGGGGTCATTGATTTTCCCTATATGCATATAGTAAAAAATTTAAAAAAATCTTTTAAAAAACCCCAAAGAGCTAGAGCTAAGATATTTAGGGCATGAACATGTTCTAATGGGTGTCTACCAAATTTGTTCAAATAAAAGCCCTGGGGTCAAAATTGGCCCCGCCCCAGGGGTCATTGATTTGTCCTATATACATAGAGTAAAAAGTTAAAAATCTTCTATTAAAGAACCCAAAGAGCTAGAGCTAAGATATTTAGCATGAAACATGTTCTAATGGATGTTTACCAAGTTTGTTCAAATAAAAGCCCTTGGGGTCAAAATTGGCCCCGCCCTAGGGGGTCATTGATTTGTTTCCCTATATTGCATATAGTAATTAAATACTTAAAAATCTTCTTTTAAAGAACCCAAAGAGCTAGAGCTAAGATATTTAGCATGAAACGTGTTTCTAATGGGTGTCTACCAAGTTTGTTCAAATAAAAGCCCTTGGGTTAAAATTGGCCCTGCCAGGGGGAGGGGGGCAAAAGTCATTGTTTTTCATTATTTGTGTAAAGTAAAAACTTAACATCATGAAATATCATCTAATGGGTGTCTTCCAAGTTTGTTCAAATAAAAGCCCTTTGGTTTAAACTGGCCCGGCCCTGGGGGCCTATGTTCAGGTGAGCGACCCCAGGGCCATCATGGCCCTCTTGTTTTCTATTTCTGTTCTGTTGAAGATTTTGAGATGTAATTTTGTGATATTTTTGTTTTTTATATAAAAAATATATCTATTTGGGGCAATTTTTGGATGTGTAATACATTTTTCTTTAAAAGAGTTAACTATTAAATTCTATTGATGTTCTTTAAATGACTTGAGGTGAAATTTTTGTGCCCCCACTTTAGGGGGTGGGGGGATTTAGATTTACCCTTGTTGGACCATCTGTCCTTCCATCCCTCCATTCTCATGTTGTGTCGCATGTAACTCAAAAAGTAATTGACCTAGAGTCCTGAAACTTTATAGAAATGTTGTTTATTATGTGTAGTTGTGCACCTGGGGGTTTGCTTGTGGATTTATTCTGTTTTGTTAGAGTTATTGCCCTTGACTTAGTAAAAATTTGCAATTTTCAACTTGTGTCGCATGTAGCTTAGTATAAATTTGCAATTTTCAACTTGTGTCGCACATAGCTCAAAAAGTATATGACCTAAAGTCATGAAACTTTACAGGAATGTTGCTAAGCATGTGAAGTTGTGCACCTTGTGGTTTGCTTGTGGATTTATATAGTATTTGTAAAGTTCTTGCCCTTTACTTAGAAAAAGATTTTTAGTTTTCATATTGTGGCACATGAAGCCCAAAAAATATTTGACCTAGAGTCACAAGATTGACAAAACTGGAGTGTGGGGGCTGTCCGTGTCCTATGGACACTTTTCTTGATTTCTATTGACTTTTCTTTTAAGGATTTGGAGGTGTTCGTACAAAACTGTTTACTTCTGGCTGACAGTGAAGGAATTTCAACATTGGCATTTCCTGCTTTAGGTACTGGAAAAGAGTATCCATATCGAGATGTGGCAGTCGCATTGTTAAATGGAGTAGACAAATATGTGGCTGAGGGAATAATTGGAGGAATTTCAACTGTTTACATCTCTGTACCCCAAATAACCAAAAAAGAAGTTGAAATATGCCAGGTTTAGTTGCTTTCAGTACATTTTTTATGTAATACAATATGAATAGCAAAGATTTTAAAGCAGCATGTCTCCAGATTTGTGCAAATTTTCATGAAAATTTGAAGATGTATGTAAAAGTAAACTATTGTAAAGCGAAGAAAGAAAATAATTTATGATACACATTGCAAACACCAATTCTCTCTCCCTATGATCGAAAGTAAATTACTTATTCTCTAATCTAATATAACAAAACAAAGACAAACATAGGAATGACACTCTGTATTTGGCAGTAATTATCAACAATTCAATCAAGCAAATTCTTTTAATACTAATCTTGTCCAAGTCAAACAGTATTTCTGTAGAATTCTAATAGAAATGTTGTCTTAAAAATATTGTCAGTTTACCAATTAATAGAAACAAAATATATTTGTACATTTTCTAAAATGAATGGGCGGGGGGATGAATAATCTACATGTAAAGTATGCAAAAGTACTTGTGTCGAGTGAAAAAGAGTGGACATTTAGCAGGTTTATAAATACCAGATATTCACAAAAATAACGAGAAATTCATGAGCAAAACTAAAACATCTTAAGGTGGTACACACCAAAGCAGTTATTACATCAAAAAAAAAGAATAATTTCATTTTTAAACCATGTAAATTAAAAGAAAAGACCAAAAGAAGGTCAAAATATACATAAATAGCCCTTTAACTGAGTTAGTCATGCAGAAGAAATTGGTGATGATTACACCAAAATCACTTATTATTCGCATATAAAGTAAACTGTTTCTTGAATATTTTTACTTTTCTTAAAAAATTTTCTCAAGATTTATGTTTTTGAAATATTTTGGCTGATCTGGAGGCATGCATCATTATGATAGTATTGCTTTTAACTATAGTAAATGGGTTCTTTTTTAAGTTGAAGCAGGGTTTTATTATTAGCTAGACTTTTTATAAGAATAACTATTCATAAATGTCAACCACATCAAGACGATGTGTTGCGTCCAAGAATTATGACCCTACCTCAAAGTTCAAGGTCACAGTTACATTTTAAAGTTTCACATTATCACAAATAGAGATAATAGAAACACAAATTCCTGTCCAGACTGTAACTTTGTCATGCATCGAAGGATTTCAAAATAACTAGCCACATCAAGACAATGTGTGGCATTCAAGAATCACAAAGGTACCTCAAAGGTCAAGGTCACACTACCATTTTGAAGTTCACTTTAGCACAGTTAGAGTTTATATATACACACATTGGTGTCAGTACTGTAACCTTGTCATGCATTGAAATTTTTTTTTAAATAACTAAGCATAAATGTCAACCACATTAACACGCCATATTGCGTTCAAGACCAGTGTCCCTACCTTCAAAATCAAGGCCACAAAATAGTTTGAAAGTACTCATTCTCTTGAGAAGAGTTTGAAGATTCATGTCCGGACTGTAACTTTGTCATGCATGGAAGGTTTTTAAAAGAACTTGGCACAAATGTCTACCACATCAAGATGATGTGTCGTGGCTAAGACTCATGTCCATCTGTGCTCTCCACTTACACAACAATCATGTTCAGACTGTTACTTTGTCCTGCATTGAGGGATTTTGAAATAACTATTCACAAATGTTTATCACATGACAATGTTGTGGCGCGTCCAAGAACCACGTCCCTTTTCAAAGGTCAAGGTCACACTATATATTCTGAAGGTTCACGCTATCACAATTAGAGATTATAGGTACACACATTTGTGTCCTGACAATAACTTTGTCATGCATCAAAGGATTTTAAAATAGCTTGGCACAAATGTCTACCACATTAAGATGACAAGTTGTGTGTAAAACCCATGTTTCAAACTCCAAGGTCAAGGTCACAATAATAGTTTGAAGGTACTTATGCTCATAAGAAGACTTTAAAGGTTTCCAAACTGTAACATTGTCATGCATTGAAGGATTTTAAAATAACTTGGCATAAATGTCTACCACATCAAGATGTTGTGTCGCATCCATGACCTTTGTCCAAAGGTGTTAAGTTTTCTATAAGTAGCACTTCATTTCACAAGAACAATATTAAGCAATTAGTTACTTTCATTCTCTTTTCTTTTCATAATACCTGGATGTTAAAGAAACCTTTTCAGGGGCATTCTTCACTTGCGTTGCAGCTCTTATTCTATCTGTGGACATTTAATCTTCTTTTTTTACCAATGACTAACATCTTCTTTTATTTGTTTCCGTAGATTTTAGACAGAGAGCAAGAGAGAAGGAAATCGGCTGAAACTACCTCTGGAAAACAGCATCAAGCAGAGGGTAATATTTGATAAATACATTTTTCCTACTGCTTGATACTGGCGGGAATATTATATCAAGTCATCTTTTAAATAGCACTGTTTGAACCACAATATACCATCAGTTTAGATACATGTATATGCTGTATGGAGATAGTAAAATATCATGAATGTTGCCAAATTTTTAGCAAAAATAATTTACTGGCAGTAGCAAGTAAGTACAGGTTATAACATGGGGCAAGTGTGCATTTAGTCCATATTGGCACACTAAGTGACTTATTTGCCCGAGGGCAAATAAGTCACTAAGTGTGCCAATATATTATTTGCTGTTTCTCCATACTGTGTATTATAAGGGCAACCAGTGCCTAAATTAGTACCATACACATTTGTGAATTCATTATATTCCTGTACCTCAAAACTGCTTAATAAATGATAAATAAAAACACATTGCTTTGCATGAATTGTTCCTGAAATATAAGCTGAATTTTTACTCTGATGGTTTTGTCAACTAAAAGGCTGTCAAAAGTTTTATACATGCATAATTCTGTAGGATTTTCAGCAAGTTCTTTAGACTGGAAGACTGCATCATACCATTCACCAAAGACAAGACAGTGTCTGAATGTTACTCTTGTTGGATGTAAACATAGTGACCTTGAGAGAGCCAAGAAAGAAATCACACAGTACATAGAAGGAATAGAATATAATGATATAGATCCTGACATGGTAAATACCACTAGATACAGATATTGTAGTATTGATAATAAAATTTTTATGCCCCCACAAAGTGGGGTGCATATAGCGTTGCACTTGTCCATCCGTCCGTCAGTCTGTCCTTCCGTCCGTACGTCTGTCAATCCGTACGTCCCGAAATCTTGTGAACGCAACTCCTCTTAAACCGGATGGCAGATTTTGCTTAAACTTCCAGGGATGAACAACCTTAATGTGTAGATGGTAGTAAAGGAAGGAATTTTTGCTGCGACCAAATTTAACAGAATTATGGCCCTTTGTTGATTTTTGTGCCCCCACGTTAGTGGCGGGCATTTAGATTTACCCTTGTCCGTCCGTCCGTCCGTCCGTCCTTCCGTCCGTCCTTCCGTCCGTCCGTCCGTCCGTTCACTTTTGTGTCGCACGTAACTCAAAAAGTATTTGACCTAGAGTCATGAAACTTTACAGGAATGTTGATCAGCATGTGTAGTTGTGCACCTGGGTATTTTGGTCTGGATATTTTTAGTATTTTCAGAGTTATTGCCCTTGACTTAGTAAAATTTGGCAATTTTCAACTTGTGTCGCATGTAACTCCAAAAGTATTTGACCTAGAGTCATGAAACTTTACAGGAATGTTGATCAGCATGTGTAGTTGTGCACCTGGGTATTTTCGTCTGGATATTTTTAGTATTTTCAGAGTTATTGCCCTTGACTTAGTAAAATTTTGCAATTTTCAACTTGTGTCGCATGTAACTCAAAAAGTATTTGACCTAGAGTCATGAAACTTTACAGGAATGTTGATCAGCATGTGTATTTGTGCACCTAGGTATTTTGGTCTGGATATTTTTAGTATTTTCAGAGTTATTGCCCTTGACTTAGTAAAATTTTGCAATTTTCAACTTGTGTCGCATGTAACTCAAAAAGTATTTGACCTAGAGTCATGAAACTTTACAGGAATGTTGATCAGCATGTGTAGTTGTGCACCTGGGTATTTTCGTCTGGATATTTTTAGTATTTTCAGAGTTATTGCCCTTGATTTAGTAAAATTTTGCAATTTTCAACTTGTGTCGCATGTAACTCAAAAAGCATTTGACCTAGAGTCATGAAACTTTACAGGAATGTTGATCAGCATGTGTAGTTGTGCACCTGGGTATTTTCGTGTGCATATTTTTAGTATTTTTAGAGTTATTGCCCTTGACTTAGTAAAATTTTGCAATTTTTAACTTGTGTCGCACATAACTCAAAAAGTATTTGACCTAGAGTCATGAAACTTTACAGGAATGTTGATCAGCATGTGTAGTTGTGCACCTGGGTATTTTCGTCTGGATATTTTTAGTATTTTCAGAGTTATTGCCCTTGACTTAGTAAAATTTTGCAATTTTCAACATGTGGCGCACATAACTCAAAAAGTATTTGACGTAGAGTCATGTAACTTTACAGGAATATTGATCAGCATGTGCAGTTGTGCACCAGGTATTTTTGTCTGGATTTATTTAGTATTTTAGAGTTATTGCCCTTCACGTAGAAAATTTTGCAATTTCAACTTGTGTCGCAAGTTTCTCAAAAAGGATTTGACATAGTCAATAAACCTTATAGGCAGGTTGCTCAGCATATTTTAGATTTGCACCTGGGGTTTGGCTTGTGGATTTATCCAGTATTTGTAGAGTTATTTCCCTTGACTTAGTAAAAAGATTGACAGAACAGTGTCGCTGTGGGGGCACCCGTGTCCTATGGACACATTTCTAGTTTCACTATATACTATGTAGAAATTTTGTGAACACAACTCCTCTTAAACCGATGGCAGATTTTGCTTAAACGTCCAGGGATGAACAACCTTAATGTGTAGATGGAAGTAAAGGAAGGAATTTTTGCTGCAACCAAATTTAACAGAATTAAGGCCCTTTGTTGATTTTTTCACTATATACCATATAGAAATTTTGTGAATGCAACTCCTCTTAAACCGGATGGCAGATTTTGCTTAAACTTCCAGGGATGAACAACCTTAATGTGTAGATGGAAGTAAAGAAAGGAATTTTTGCTGCGACCAAATTTAACAGAATTATGGCCCTTTGTTGATTTTTTCACTATATACCATATATATGTTACAGTGGGGGCATCCGTGTCCTTTGGACACAGTTCTAGTTATTGAAGTATTATTTCTGTCAAAGCAGATATTTAGTCAAGTAAGGAACTAAACAAAGGAAACATTTTATATGAACTAAATTAAGGAGGGGTTTCTGGTCTGAACTTGAGCATCTCCATTTAATTTCACAACATTTTTACTTTCAGTTAAAAGATAAAAATGAAAATTTGTAGCATTAAGTACAATCCCAAGCTTTTAATATATGGGATTCCATCAAGATACATTATACAAGAGATTCCATTAAAATACATTAATACATGAGATTCCATCAAAATACATTTTTATATGAAATTCCATCAAGATACTTTATACATGAGATTCCATCAAGATACATTATACATAAGATTCTATCAAGATACATTATACATGAGATTACATCAAGATACATTATACATGAGATTCCATCAAGATACATTATACATGAGATTCCATCAAGATACATTTTACATGAGATTCCATCAAGATACTTTATACATGTGATTCCTTCAAGATACTTTATACATGAGATTCCATCAAGATACTTTATACATAAGATTCAACCAAGATACCTTATACATGAGATTCAATAAAGCTACATTACACAAGAGATTCCATCAAAATACCTTAATACATGAGATTCCATCAATATAAATAATAGAAGAGCATTATTCATGAGACTCCATCAAGATACATTATACATGAGATTCCATCAAGATACATAACACATGGGATTCAATCAAAAACATAAGTCAAGAGATTCCATCAAGATACTTTTTACATGAAATTTCATCAAGATACATTACTTATGAGATTCAGTTGAGATACCTTATTCATTAGATTCCATGAAGATACATTATATTAGAGATTCAATCAATGTGCATTATACATGAGATTCCATAAAGATACATTATATAGGAGATTCCATCAAGATACATTATACATGAGATTCCATCAGGATACATTATACATGAGATTGCATCAAGATACATTACACATGAGATTCCATCGAGATACATTATACATGAGATTCCACCAAGATACTTTGTACATGAGATTCCATCAAGATACTTTATACATGAGATTCCATCAAGATACAATACACATGAGATTACATCAAGATACTTTATACATGAGATTCCATCAAGATTCACAGTTAACATGAGATTCCTTGTCAAGCAGATATGGTTACATTATAAAGGTGCATGTACTGAAAACAACTATTTATTTTTTGTCATACTTACTCATTAATCTATCAATAGGAACCTATTTTAATTTAGAAAATTACATGATTTATACTGCTCTATTGCTTTTAAGCTACACATTGGCTGCAAAAATTATTGTTTGACTTTTTAGCTCACCTGAGCTTGCTCAGGGTGAGCTATTAGGATCGGTGAATGTCCGTCGTACGTCCACAATTGCTTGTGAACACACTAGTGGTCACACTTATGACTCAATCATCATCAAACTTTGTCAGGATGCTTGTTTAGTCAATTGCTCGGATGAGTTCGAAACTGGGTCATTTCGGATGGAAAACTAGGTCACAAGAGCTAAAAATAGAAAAACCTTGTGAACACTCTAGAGGTCATATTTTTGACCCAATCATCATCAAACTTGGTCAGGATGTTTGTCTAGGTGATAGCTCGGATGAGTTCGAACAAGGATCATCTCGGATGAAAAAGTAGGTCACAGGAGCTATAAATAGAAAAACCTTGTGAACACTCTAGTGGTCACATTTTTGAACTATTCATCATCAAACTTGGTCAGAATGCTTGTCTAGTCAATTGCTTGGATGAGTTCGAAAATGGGTCATCTCGGATGAAAAACTAGGACACAGGAGCTAAAAATAGAAAAACCTTGTGAACACTCTAGTGGTCACATTTTTGACCCAATCATCATCAAACTTGGTCAGGACGCGCTTATCTAGTTGATAGCTCGGATGAGTTTGAACATGGGTCATCTCGGATGAAAAAGTAGGTCACCGGAGCTAAAAATAGAAAAACCTTGTTAACACTCTAGCGGTCACATTTTTGCATCAATCATCATCAAACTTGGTCAAGATGTTTGTCTCAGTGATAGCTCGGATGAGTTTGAACATGGGTCATCTCGGATGAAAAAGTAGGTCACCGGAGCTAAAAATAGAAAAACCTTGTTAACACTCTAGCGGTAACATTTTTGCATCAATCATCATCAAACTTGATCAAGATGGTTGTCTAGGTGATAGCTCGGATGAGTTTGAACATGGGTCATCTCGGATGAAAAACTAGGTCACAGGAGCTAAAAGTAGAGAAACCTTGTTAACACTCTAGTGGTCACAATTTTGACTCGATTGTCATCAAACTTGGTCAGGAAACTTGTCTAGGTCATTGCTGGGATTAAATCGAACATGGGACATCTCGGATGAAAAACTAGGTCACAGGAGCTAAAAATAGAAAAATCTTGTTAACACTCTAGTGGCTACTGTTGTGATCCAAATATTCTGTTAATTGGTCTGAAAGTTTGTTTTGATGATTTCTAAGTCAAGATCGAACATGGGTCATCTTGGATGAAAAACTAGGTCACACTGCCCACATATGGAAAAACCTTGTTAACATTCTAGTGGTCACATTTTCGACTCAATTATCATCAAACTTGGTCAGGATGCTTGTCTAGGTAATTGCTTGGATGAGTTCGAAATCGCATGTGAAACTAGGTCACCGGAGCTAAAAATAGAAAAATCTTGTTAACACTCTAGTTGCTACTGTTTTGATCCAAGTATCCTGGAAATTGGTCTGAAAGTTTGTTTTGATGATTTCTAGGTCAAGTTTGAATATGTGTCACCTGGGTAAAAAACTAGGTCGCACTGCTCAAATATGGATAATCCTTGTTTACACTGTAGTGGTCACATTTTGACTCACCTGTCATGAGACTTGGTCAGAATGCTTGTCTAGGTAATTGTTTGGATGAGTTTGATAAGTCAGGTGAGCGATCTAGGGCCATCATGGCCCTCTTGTTAAAAATTGTATTTCCAAAAAATGGTTTTATTCTAAGAAATATGGTAGTAAATTGACTTAAAAGTAGAATTGTGCATGCACCATATCATTGTTAAACCATTAAAATTCTTATTAAAATGGCATCATAATATTTTATTTTATTCTGCTTACGTATAATATTAATTTGTGTTGAATAACAGGCATTTTATATTACAAGCAAGAACTCCTTTATGAATCTACCATCAGATTATAGAAAAATAAATTAAAAAAAATATTTCTTTAGATATATTTGTCATCTATTTCCCTTTAGTATTGTTTTTGCCATAGTCATATACATAGATAATTTAAACACCTTGATGGTCAATATACAAGTATTATCAGCTGAAGCTTCAACTTTTATAAAAAAAAAAGAACTTGATTACAATGTAAAATGTCCATGTGTTGAAATTTATTTTTGAATTGAAATAAATAAATTCCAGAATATTTTTAAGTTTCTTTTTTTCTGTAGATATTGGACCTAGTTTCTGCAGAACTGAACCCAGGCATTGCAAAACATTTAGTACACAGAGATCCGTATGATTTCGAAGAATGGAGGAAAGAGTTATCCAAATTTTTTAATGTTTATTTTTGGATAAACAAAGATATTCCAAAGATAGAGATTTGGGGATCTTTTGACAGCATACTACAAACCGAGCAGTACTTTGAGAATGAATTTCCAATGTCACCATCAAAGAGTGAAATAGCCCTCCTAGAAATCGATGATCAGCACTATGAGCAACCCAAATGGGTTACTCTGACAATACCTTGCATCAGCCGAAGAAAATTGCATGTTATTAAAAAGTTTTTGAAACAATGAGGTTGAAAGTCTGAAAATCAAAACAAGGATCTTCGAAACCTAAATATGTTTGAGGACAGACTGACAGTCATGTGTGCACCTTCTTTCCAGTCTGAAGCAAAATCAAAAGATGCAAGAAATGATTGATGAAGTAAAGAAGTTACCAAAGCCAAAATGTCAATCTAGGTTCAAAAGAGGAAGAAGATTTTGTTTTGAAAATGGATTTTCAAGAATAGCATATTGTGCTTACCAGTATCAAATGAAAAACATCATTCAATCAAAGTAATTGGTAAAGACAAAGTATTGGTAAAAAGAGGCATGTCAAAAGATAAAGCTGAACAGTGAGCAAGGAAAGTGTAGGCAGATGGATGTTTCCTTTGAGTTTGAAAAAGGCGACCTTCAAATTCAAGAAACTTGAAATGACTGTCCTTTGCCATGACATAACAAATATTTGTGGTGGATTGCATTGTATCTCCTGTGAATAAGGTAGTGTCCACTGAGACAGGTGTTGCAAAATCCATAGCTAAAAAGGCTGGGAAGTGTTATAAAGGGCAATGCAAAGCCATTGGTGATAAAAAGGACACTTTATTTAACAGAGGATGTGTTGAAACAGAATCAGGACTGTTGCAAAAAAAGCAAATATGTGATACATGTCTATAGCCCACTACGGTGTGAAGCAAAACAGACTGAATGAACAGCTTTTAGACATTGAATATTCAGTAACAAACTGTCTTAAAAAGGCAGATCAGTTGCGAATGACTTCAATTAGCAATTCCATTTCTTGGTACAGGTAAGGGCACTTTTGCTATCCAGGCAAAAATATTCCCCTTTTCTCAAGTGCCATTTTTCTCTGTTTCAACCTAAGAAAATGAAGAAAAAATAGAAATGAGTGGAATATAATTAGTGCGTAACTTTGTTTTTTGGTTGTTCTGCAAATTGGGTAGTCACTTAACTACTATTATAATTCTATTTTTTATCAAGTCACTAGAAAAGTTGCTTGTGACCATACTGGTAATTTCGTCTTTTACAATTCACTTTTTATATTGTTTGATTTTATTAACTTCTCAAGATTGCATGCTTATTGTAGTAACAGTCAATGCATACAGTATAGTAATCTTTGATAAATGTTGGGCAAATTCTGTAAGATGTATACATAGTAAGATGTGATTAAATTTAATTTGTTTTCTATGAAATAATTATACTGACCTTGTCCTCTATGAAAGTTGCATAAATCATGCTCCTTTAGGTTCAAAATTGGCCCCTTCCTGGGGGTTACTTAGATTACATGCTAGCAAGGGCTTATATAGGGAAAAGACATCTAAAGTCCTCTTTTATGAAACTGATACATGTATGCCAGAGGCTCGAAGTATTGTCTAGTGGGACCTCTACAAAAGATATATCCAGTTAATTCATTAATGCTGTGTGTGGGAAATTGGCTGCACTCGTGGTCACTTAATTCATCTTGACTTGTTTAGTAAAAAAGGAAACTTGTAAAAGACTTACCTTCAATAACTAACAATGCCCTAGGAACTTTGATATAAAGGATCACCTTTGTGGTTTTGTACAAAAGTAATTGTAATCATAGTTTGGGGGGAATAAGAATTTTATAAAAAACTTTGTAAAGGAAAATGCACTTAAGGTCTTCTTTTGGTGAAACATACAATGCCAAGAGGCTCAGAATATTTGTTGACATGCAGCATTGCCTTAGTAAACATTACAAAAAGTGATATAAGGTCATGCCACAGGGGTCAAAATTTGGCTCTCACTGGTGGTCAGGTTACTTTGTTTTTTTTAAATACATTTGAAATTTTTCTGTTGTGAAACTTCAATGGGCCAGACTTGCCTAGTGGACATCTAACAAAAGTTATAAAAATCATGCCCTGGGGGCTTAAATTAGCACTGCTTTGGGGGGTCACTGATTTACAAAAAGACTTAAAATTTCTGTAAATTACAATGCATAAGCTTAGATATTTACTTGCAGCATCACTTTTTTTTTTTTGGTCCCCCTAAAAGAAGATATATAAAACATGCTCCCCCTGAAAACAAAAGGGTTTCCCGGGTTTATGGAGCCCCCAAGCTTATAAAGACTTTTTAAAATGAAAAAAAGATTTTAAACCTTCTTTTTTGAAACTTTCAATGCCAAAACTTATGATTTTTAGCATGCAGCAAATTGGGCTTGTGGAAAATTTACAAAAGTTATTTAAAATCATTTCTTTTCCCTTTGGGTCAAAAAAGGCCCGCAGGGGGTCCCCTTTTTTCATATGGGCTTTCATAGAAAAAATTAATTTTTTAATTGTTTTTTTCAGTTTAAAAATTTCAATGTTATTTAGGGTTTTTACATTTGGCATGGGGAAAATTTTCAAACATGGTAGACACCCACAAATGCCCTTTGAAAAAATTATTGCAGCCTTAAACTAAAAATAGCAATTTAATCCAATGTGATCTCATTTCTAGTTTTACCCTTTTCTAGCATTAATTATTGGTGAGGGCCATATGGACCCTTTTGTAAAGACATGATTATTTAAATATTGTTGTTTCAGTACAAACATTTTCATCCAATGTGAACAAAGATATCCATGCAAATATATTTATTTATACTTTGGTCTTTTGATCCTTTCAGGGACAAGTCACTTTCCAATAGATCATTGCGCAATACAATACTATAGAGCTGTTGACGCCTTTAAAGATGCTGAAACTTTAAAGAAAGTTATGTTAGTTGGTATCAGGCAAGACAAAGTCACCGAGGTTTGTTCTAAGATTTCAAAATGTATAAGCATGAGTGCTAACATCTTGTCAGATGCAGTATTAGCTGTCAAGGCTTCCAAGTCACTTGTCACATACCACTTTGCACATGAACAGATGCACAAGGTTGATACAGATGCAGTAGTCATGAAAGTAGATGAAAACCTAAATGGTCATGGGGAAGATGTGGAACTTATTCTAGCCCGTGCAACTCAAAGGTTTCAAGATGTCTACACGGAGCAAAGTAGTTTATCACATTCTTGCACCACTGTTGTTCCAATACAGGCTGATCTGGAAGGACTTCGATGGAAATTTGTCTTTTTTGCTGTTATCCCAGTTTTGAAAGATGATCCTGTAAATTATGAACATTACCTAAATATCACAGTACAACACATTCTTCAATATGCATCTGAACGAGATATTTCAGACATAGCACTACCTATCTTAAGCTGTGAAGGTAAGAATAATTTGTTCCTATTTTTGAGTGCTTTTTAGCACTCTGCTTGTTATGCTTTGCACATAATTAAGTTTTCAGTTAATCATTATGCTTTCAATATATAAACAAAACTGTATAGGGATGTTCCTGTGGTTATCCCTTTTCAAAATTATTATAAAAATTTATGATGTGCCAAAGTTGCAAATAGCAAACATAAAGAAAAGCTTTAATATTTTTTTATGCAAATCAGCTTGATTAATATTATATCTGTTGGTCAGATTTATAAATAATGGGTCAAAGTTAGCATATTTCTATGTGTCAATTGAGCCTTTGGGGACAAAATTGGCCCCTCTTTAGGGGTATCTTTCTTAAGTAATTTAGACTTGTATAGGAAAACACAATTAAATCTTTTTCAAGAGAATTTAAATGCGTAGAGCCTAGATTTTTGGCATGGATCATTCAGTAGTGGACCTATACAAAAGTTATAATTGATACATTTCCATAAATTAGTATGATTTAGGGTCCTTAAAATGTTCATTTCTGCGTTCACTATGATACTAAATGTGTTATTATTATTGTGCATTTAATGGGTATGCATTATGATATCTACTCATTCTGTTATTGTTGAAGAAAAATTGGGGATATAGAAATGGTTCAATCCATCTGTCTGTCCGTTCTCCACACTTCCTGTTTGATCCATATTAGGGATTTTGAAATAACTTGGCACAAATGTTCATTATAATAAGATGATGTGTCTTGGGTAGCTCCCACACCCCTTACATCAAGGTCAAGGTCACTCATTGAGATCGAAGGTCGACATTGATTGGTAGGTGAGTGTATATTTTAGGATCTATGATAATTATTTTAAGTACGGTATATCTTTGTAGTTGTTAAAATAAGATGTTTTGCTAGGCATTACACTTTGTCGTCCCATTCCTGGAATTGTCCTATCGCAGCAAAATTATCCTTTTACCTAGTATCGAATGGAATGTTGAAATGATAGGGGATTTAAACAATCTTTTACAGTGTTGCATTGCTTCGTTTCAGGTTTTTTCTCTGTCTTTAAATTAAATAAGTTTTAGTTAAAATGTTGTACAGTTCCTTTTCGGATTA